TGTACCACCATTGACTTAAGCTTCTTCTTCTTTTTTTTTTGGCTCTTTTAGGTTGCTGATGCCATTTTGGGAAATCAGATGTTCACACATTACGATCGAGCCCACATTGCCCAGCTTTGTGAAAAAGCTGGCTTGCTACAGAGAGCTTTGGAACACTACACTGATCTTTACGATATCAAGCGTGCTGTCGTGCACACCCACCTTCTGAATCCAGAGGTAAGATAAGTTGCATTTGAATGGCGCCAACAGAATCCTTGCCTCCACTGCTTTCTTCGCTGTTTCTTGCTTCCCCTGCTACTGTTTGGTCTTCCTCTATCCCTCTTCCCCCTTCTGCTCATAGAAATTGGTAGCTTCTTCCTACACTTTGGCGAAGTAGTCAGAGGACCGCAGTAGCTGAAGACGTTTGGGGCTCAAATCCCCTCTCAGGCAATGAAACTCGGACAACGCTCATGACTTCCTAGCGTAGTCTTATGGAGACAGATGCTCGTGGCAGCGAGACCAAGTGTTGCCCAGCCCTGGAAGAGAGACAGAATTCCAACAATATCTGATGGGGAACTTAAACTCGGAGAATATGAAGCAAAGCCAAAATGAACAGTATATATTCACAACAGATGTTTAACCCATTTTAAGCAAGAATGGTTCCCATACATACAATATATCACCCAGCATGGCAAATATAATCATTTAAGGGGGCCTAAATGTTTATGAACATTCCACGTTAAAAGCACAAAAAGGGGGAAGTTAGAAACCAAATAGCCTTTTTTCCCCTTTTTTTTTCAGTTGCCTATTTTGCTCTCTCTGTTTTCCCTTTGCCTCAACATGTGCAAACAATAATAAGTAACAATATAGGGAACACCATAGTACTCAGCATTCAGAGATAGAAACCTTTATTGTACCACCAATATTTTGACGTAATTTCCGGCTGTTATATTTGCAATTGATGTTATATTCAGTTTTGGATGTAAAATCTAAACCCTCTTTGGAGGAATGTAGATTCTAGTATCAGTTATTCCTGGGCTCAGTGCTGCACTAAGACGTACTTTGTTTCAACCATGGTTTGTTGGGCAGGTAATAGTTGGCTGGACTGGCAAAGCTATAAATCATACCAGTCCCAACAGCTGGGTTTGTTTAACTTGCTGCATCAAAGGCAAGCCCCATTTTGGCTTAATATCATGTGTGAACCCAGTCGGGGTATTGTTGAAATCCGGCATGGTTCTGAAACATTCAAAATGTGATTACAGATCACAGTTCTTTACATAGTACTTGTTCCTAGTGTGGATTGTTGGGTTGCGTGTCATAGATTATGTGTGCATCTGTTTACATATTTAGCTTTGGAGGTTTTTCCCCCCCAGTGGCTGGTGAATTTCTTTGGCTCCCTGTCCGTTGAAGACTCCGTCGAGTGCCTACGCGCTATGTTGTCTGCCAACATCCGACAAAATCTGCAGCTCTGCGTTCAGGTAGCTTCGAAGTATCACGAACAGTTGGGCACCCAGTCCCTTGTGGAACTCTTTGAATCCTTCAAAAGCTATGAAGGTACGTCTAGGAAATGAAATTACAAGAGTGGCTTGCTATAACCTTGCCTTGACAACACCATCCAGTAGGGAATGATGTGCGTTCTATGGATGTATGAAAATGCAAAATGGCAGCTGATTTTTAAGCCTCTAAGTCAGTGTTTCTCAGCCGTGGCAACTTGAAGACATGTGGACTTCAACTCCCAGAATTCCCCAGCCAACTATGCTGGCTGGGGAATTCTGGGAGTTGGAGTCTAGCCATGCTGGCTGGAGAATTCTGGGAGCTGGAGTCCACCCATGCTGGGAATTCTGGGCATTGGAGTCCACACATCTTCAAGTTGCCAAGGTTGAGAAACACTGCTGTATATCAAAGCAAACAAAAGTCTCATCACATCCAGTAACGTTTCTTGGCAGCGGTTTTGGTGTACAATATGCCAAGCCATGTCTGATTTGGTAGTTCCAATACTAAAAGTCAGAGAAATTCCTTGAAGTGTTTAATCTTTCTGGCTGTGCCAGAATGTAAAGTAACTGGCTGGAAGACGAGCTGACAGATTAAAGAGAATCACTAGAAGATCAGGATTAACCTGATAGGATTAATTTAGTCAGTACTACAAGGAGAGCAATACCCTATGCTCGGTTTAAAGGAACCAACACTAACGTGTTTGTTCTTAGCCATCATCAAACTTGCCAAAATACCTGTGTGAGTTTGGGAAGCATTTTCAACATTTTCTGTTTCCTTGCTTTTATAGCCAAAATTAAAGCCACATACATCCAAAGGACCTGGTGGAGTATATTTTATTAAGTGTTGGGCTGCCTGCTAATTTTCTGGCTTGTGCAAAAAAGGAATATCTCTTCTCTGCATGGCCAGTAACCTCTTGTTTCTCTGTGTGTCTAGGACTCTTTTATTTCCTGGGCTCCATTGTCAACTTCAGCCAGGATCCGGATGTCCACTTTAAATATATCCAGGCTGCCTGCAAGACTGGCCAAATCAAAGAAGTTGAGAGGATCTGCCGTGAAAGCAACTGTTACAATCCAGAACGAGTGAAAAACTTCCTGAAGGTAGGATTATGTGGATTCCACCTTTGAGGCCAGCGTTTCTCAGCCTCAGCAACTAAGAGGTGTGAACTTCAACTCCCAGAATTCCTCAGCCAGCATGGGTGGCTTTCAACTCCCAGAATTCCCTAGCCAGCATCCCAAGAATTCTGGGAGTTGAAGTCTACACCTCTTAAAGTTGTTGAGGTTGAGACACACTGTTTTAGACAATAGGAGTATACAGCCCTTTGTCAGAGAATTACAAAGCAGGTGGTAGCTTCTCTGGTTTTGTTCTTCATCAAGGTGGGTTAATTCTGGCGGGCGACCTTCGCAAAGCGGGTGGCATTAAACGGAGAAGTTGATTGGAGTCTTCAAATACCACTGCCCTTTGTTTGATCTACTGTTAACCTGTGAGGATATCTGCCAGTCACAATGGCAGGGGGAAGATTTGCAAAGCTTTGGATTGCTCTCTGCTAGTCTTTCGTCCCATCCAGGGAAATTAATCTTGTGGCTGCCTTTTTCAGGGATAAAGCAGGAAGCTGATTTTTCCTTCCCCGAGGAGATAAATAAACCACAATCTCAAGAGGCAGAGAGATTCATAGCCTGGGAAAAGCCGTGCTACCAAAATAGTCCAGACAGAATAAGAGGAAGGGAGAGTCCATTTCTAAAATGAAGGGGGCTCCCAGAAAGGATTTTCTCCCTGTGTGTTTTTCATAAATAATGCATGTGTATAAATAAACATAAATAGCAACATTGGGACAGTCTGTTAACTAAGCATGTGAAATGTGGCACTTTGATCTTAAACATAGTATATGTTAAATATAGGAACAAAGGGGTTTTTTTTGCACAAGGGTGCACTCTCAAAGGTAACAAATACATTTCCTTCTTGTATATTACTGTCCCGTTGTTAAGCTTGGTGATAAAAATAGTTCCTTTGGGATTAACTGGAGTCCCCCTCAAATTATGGCTTCTTTCAGGCTTGAATTCATGTTTTGTTGTTATCTTCGAGATGTGCTGATAACATCTTCCATCGCTCCATTTAATGGGGTCACAGGTCAGGGAATGATGTATTACTGTTCTTCTGGTCATAATAGTCTCTGACTTATGTTTGTTGGGGGGGGTGTTTCTTTTTCTGCTGATGTAGGAAGCCAAGCTTACAGACCAGCTTCCCTTGATCATTGTCTGCGATAGATTTGACTTCGTTCATGACCTGGTTCTTTACTTGTACCGTAACAACTTACAGAAGTACATTGAGATCTATGTTCAGAAGGTACTGGGCATTTCCTTGTTAAGAATGTTTTAAGTAGATCCTTCATAGCAGTGTTTCTGAACCTCAGCAACTTTAAGATGTGTGGACTTCAACTCCCAGTATTCCCAGAATTTCCCAGAATGTATGTATACACAGGCTGGGGAATTCTGGAAGCTGAAGTCCACACATCTCAAAGTTGCTGAGGTTGAGAAACACAGCTTTATAGAAAAGAAGCGGTAAGCATTCGGCACTCATGTATGGCGGTAACGGAACTAGAGGGTATTTAAAGGAAAGTGGGCCTCAGCTAGGTCTTGTTTGTGATATTTTTCCCTTTTAAATGGTGCTCTGGGTTTGAACTTGGAACGTTCCTGACTTGGAAGATGTTTACTGTATTTGCAAGCCTTGAAAATCAATAATTTGGCCTCCTTCAGGTAAACCCAAGCCGTATCCCTGCAGTTGTGGGAGGACTTCTAGATGTGGATTGTTCTGAAGACGTGATTAAGAACTTGATCATGGTAGTGAGAGGCCAGTTTTCAACAGATGAATTGGTCGCTGAAGTAGAGAAAAGAAACAGGTAAGACCCTCAGAGGTCTTCAGAATGTTTTTGTTTCCAAAGAAGGATTAAATTTGTTCCACCTGTAGAGCCTCAGGGCTTGTATCTGCTTTTTAAAACCAGCACATCAACCATTATGGTTGATACAGGCGCTGGGGGGGAAACTTGGTGTTCCTTCTTGCCCTGAGGAGGTTTACAGTGGGTTGAAGCTGGAGCTGCTGCTTGGGAAAAGGGCCCTCTCCTTTTTGAAGCTGTCCTGTTGGGAGAGAGACGTTGCAGAAAGATAAATCCAACGAGACCAGTTAAAAGCTGGTTACTGGTGAACTAAAGAGGCTTCTCCTCTTTGTCCTCCTCCTCCTCCTCCCTCTTCCTCTTCTTCTTCAAGGCTTAAGTTGCTACTGCCTTGGCTGGAGTCTCGGATCCACGAAGGCTGCGAAGAACCCGCAACACACAACGCCCTGGCTAAAATCTACATCGACAGCAACAACAACCCGGAGCGCTTCCTGCGGGAGAATCCCTTTTACGACAGCCGCGTCGTAGGCAAATACTGTGAAAAGAGGGACCCTCACCTGGCCTGTGTTGCCTATGAAAGGGGGCAGTGTGACCTGGAGCTCATAAAGGTTGGCGTTGCCATTCTCTTGGACACGAAGCAGCAGAGGGCTGTAGACACTAAATAGAAATGAAAAAGATTTTCTTTTTTTAAGAAATCCACCAAGTGGGAAGCATGGCCACGTTGCTTACTTTGAAGCTGGAAAGGATCCTTTTAAATCCCCGTAGATCAGAAGGCCATTTTTTAACCCAGGCCTTTTCCTTTTTCCTGTTGTTCCTTTCAGGTTTGCAACGAGAATTCTTTGTTTAAGAGTGAAGCTCGCTACCTGGTGCGAAGAAAAGATCCAGAACTGTGGGTCAATGTTTTGGAAGAAAACAATCCCTTCAGGAGACCACTCATTGATCAGGTACATCAAAGATTTGGAATCTACGAAACCGGGTTGCAAGTTGTGACTGAGGATAAGAATAGACACGTGCCCTGTTCTTCAATAGAGACAACATCAAAGTCATATGTGCCCTTTTCTTTTTAAACTAGATTAGCATAGCTCATTCATTCATTCATTCATTCATTCATTCATTCATTCATTCATTCATTCATTCATTCATTCATTCATTCTCTAAGGATGCCCAATCGCAAAGCAATGCCACACTTCATCAGTTTGTGACTTTTGCTTTTCTTTTTGGTAAAGCTATTTGGAGAAGCAAGTTTGGCTCACTTCTAAGTAGAATTTTTCCTTTTGGTGGGGAAAAAAAACATCTGAAACAGCTTGTCTTGGTCATATTTGATTAACTTACAAGCTAAGCAAACCTTGAACCATCTTGTACTCCGATTACTACCACTCTGTTGTTGATTCCCACATCAACGTTCTGTTCTTTGGTGTATATCAAAGTGTATTTCCACTCTTTGCTGTAAACTAGGCTATGAATGTGCCTTACTTATGATAGTAAGTGGCATCATTTTTTCCAAATACCAGGTTGTCCAGACAGCGTTATCGGAAACTCAAGATCCAGAAGAAGTTTCTGTGACAGTCAAAGCGTTCATGACAGCTGACCTACCAAATGAACTGATTGAGTTGCTCGAAAAGATTGTCTTGGATAATTCTGTCTTCAGTGAGCACAGGTAGGAAAGAACTTTTCTGCCTTATATGTGTAATATTTATATGACATAATTGATTTTTTAATTTATTTTCATGAATGCATTTATGTGGCACTGGCTCCAAGGCATCTAAGTAGCCCACATTCAAATGGTAAAAGATTCTGTCAGTGTAGCTTTACAATAAGGTAGAATTAGCTCATCTGGTCATGTTTCCTGTCTGGTCTGCCTGGGAAGGCTGACATCAATCTTGCAAGTCTCAAAGTACAATTTTCCTGCTGTCTCCTTTACAGCCCGAGAAACTAGGGAGGGTCTCTTCTGAGCCTCTTGCTCTACCCACTATGCCGCTGTGGGCTATGCTGCCTCTTATTTGACCATTCCCTAGGCAGCATCTCCTCTCCCCATCTCCCAAGGTCTTTCCCACATACCATCACAGTAACTTCTGAAGCACCTTCAAGGGGAGCTCTACATAGAGTGAATGGCAGCAATCCAAACACCGGCTGATAAGGGCATGGGAAGCTGTTGTCATAGCCTCCTGGTCCAGAGAAGCTTTTTTTTAAAAAAAAATTTAAATGTAGGTTTTGTTGCAGGGTGTAACAAAGAATGAGAATCCTCTTTATTCTCTAGTTGAGAAAAGTTAATAAAGAAGGGGCACCTGTTGCTTTAAGGAAGGACTTGATTTCAGTTGTTGGAATCACGTGTGAGAGAATTAATCCTGGCTGACTGCACAGATGGCTTATGTCTGCATCGCAGTTGTGTTTTGTTGGACCAGAAATTGCAAACAACTGTTTACAAAGCTCACTACTGCTGGAATCTGCTGGCTTAACCGTTTCCCTGTGAACTGTTGAAAGGAATCTCCAGAACCTCTTGATCTTGACTGCCATCAAAGCAGACCGCACACGGGTAATGGAGTACATCAATCGCCTGGACAACTACGATGCTCCGGATATTGCCAATATTGCCATCAGCAACGAGCTCTATGAAGAAGCCTTTGCCATCTTCAGAAAGTTTGACGTCAATACTTCCGCCATTCAGGTGAGGCTTAAATCAGCAGCTTGTCAACCTTCAAAGAACTCCCTGTTTTCCCTTTTTTTTTTTTTTTTTTAAGTCCACACATGTGATGCTCAAGCTCATACATGAAATGCAAACCAGAGCGTGCAGATTTTTGTTCTTGGGCAGCCGAGGATAACAAGGGTCTCTAGCTTCAAGAATACCTCTAGTACCGGGAAGAATGGCTTCCTTATAGATGCACGTGGCAAAACAATATAAATCTTCTCTAATTCTTCACTGACGTCTTTGCCAGAAATCAACTTCTATGCAACCCATGCTGAATAGCTTTTGGCCTGAGTGCAAACTGCAAGGTCTTTTTATGGCCCGTGGACTTTTGCTTAAAGTATCAGCATGCTTTCTTGCTGTTGGGCGTCAGGAAATGCAAGCAAACTTTAATGTAAGCCCTAAAATAGTTTTGTTTTTTTAAACAAAACTAAACCCATAAGAAAAAAGCTGAAAATATGGCCATGCCCACTTTGCATTATTGTCCTACCTCTTCCTCCTCCCCCCTCCAAGTATGTCCTGAATTTAGCTGGTATCTTCCAGGTGTGTTGCACGACACCTTCCTGAACCCCCATCCCTATTGTCAATAGAACCCCTGAATGCTATCATACAGTAGCCTACCATCCTGATCACTGGCTGGGAGAAGGGAAGGATCAGGCTGTGGAACACAACTCAGTAGACCCAAAAAAAAAAAATCTAGTGTTGGTTTAGGTTGTTGGAATGCTCCTCCCTTTGAAAACTTGGAACGGTTCTCCCCCACCCGATTTCTGAGGTTTTATCTTCATCCTCTTCTAGGTGTTGATAGAACACATTGGCAATTTGGATCGTGCGTATGAATTTGCAGAGAGGTGTAACGAACCAGCGGTTTGGAGTCAGCTGGGCAGAGCACAACTTCAGAAGGACTTGGTTAAGGAAGCTATAGATTCTTATATAAAAGCTGACGATCCTTCTGCCTACATGGAGGTGGTCCAGGCCGCCAACCGAAACAGTAAGCCAAGGACCTCCTTTATAGCCGAGCACGAACATTTCAATTCACACCTGCGTATCAGGAATCTTTGCCCATTGCTTAGGTAAACTACCATTTAATAGTAATGGGTGGATTCTGACTGCATCAGTCTCCATTTTTCAAAAAGTCCGTGTAAGAATATACATTACATTTTATTCTTTTTCTTCCCCACGTGCAAAAAAACCTGCATTTTTGTGTGTAACTTACCCCAATGTACATATTTTGGTAGGCATGTCTATCTAAAATACACATGTTGGCATGTGAGAAAGCTGAGAGTCCTTTTATAATTCAGAAATGCAAAGCAGAAACATGTATTTTTAATGTGCATGTTAGTTTAAGTAGTGTTACTTGGATTGATTTGCCTAAAATGTGGACCGTATAGAATCTGGCCAGAAAAACCTGTGCATGACTCTCTAAATCCCAGCGTGTATCATTGTGTATGGCAATGTACACCAGTGTTTCTCAACCTTGGCAACTTGAAGATGTGTGGACTTCAACTCCCAGAATTCCCCAGCCAGCATGGGATCAGTTTATCAGTATCAGTAAACCCGCTCATATTGCTGTGTATTATTCCATCCATTCCACTGCTGGTTTTTGCAAAGGTCTGACCCCATGTGAAAAGGTAATTTTAAAATAAATTATTATTTGTTCTCTTTTTCCATCCCTTCAAGATAACTGGGAGGATCTGGTCAAATTCTTGCAAATGGCTCAGAAGAAAGCAAGAGAATCTTACGTTGAGACTGAACTGATTTTTGCCTTGGCGAAAACAAACAGGCTCTCGGAGCTAGAAGAGTTTGTCAGCGGCCCTAATAATGCCCACATACAACAGGTATTTTATTTTGAAGTTAAACTTCTAGCACAATTGATTAAACATAATTTCTAAGAGCTGGCATTGGGTCATGGTTAGTAAGGATAATAATAATTTATTAAATGCATATGCCACCTGACTCCCAGAGACTCTGGATGGTTTACAGAGGGTTAAAATATTTAAAAACTAGGAAACAACCAAAAGTAGAAGTAGAATAAAGATGGCAGAAATAACAAAACTATATGGGAACAAAGAAAAATGGAGGCTTCAGTCATGTTCACCAAAGGCCTGGGTGAAGAGCCAGGTCTTCAGGGCCCTTCAAAACACCAGTAGTGTGGGGACCTTTCTAATCTTGGGGGGAACCTCATTCCAGAGGGAAGGCGCTGCTATAGAGAAGGTGCACTTCTGGGGGTCCCAATAAATGGCATTGTTTGATCTAAGGAACACGGAGTGCACCAACCCTGCTAGATCAGATCAACTGGGCAGACACCATGGGAAACTATACTTAAGATGCTTGTAATGGACTGTGAGAATAACCTTGGGGAACAGGAGGAAGAGCCACAGCCAGGGCAATGGTCAGATCAGAGAAATCTGAGGCCAGGGCAGGAATGTAATTTGAGAATGCGTTTCAGACACGACCCTCCGTAGTTCTCTTGTAGATAAAGGCAGGGCGTGGGGAGAGACTTTCCGACTTGCAAGATTCTGTTACTATAACCCTATAATAAAATAGATAATATTGAGCCCCAGTTGTTTGATCTAAGGAACACGGAGGGTGCCATTCCTGCCAGATCAGATTGGCCGGGTAGATCCTATGGGATTCTATACTTCAGGTGCTAGACTAGGAGAAGGGAGACTCGGGTTCTAGTCCTCCCTTGTCCACGCAAGCTCATTGGGTGAGTTTGGACCAATCATTCCCTCTCAACCTTAATCAGCATCAGGCTGTGGACAAGCTAGCTAGAACACAAAACCTCATTGCATCATGTACTGGTAGCTTTCCCACGTGAACTAGGAGAGTGCCGGGCCAAATGAGCAGACCTTGAAAACAAGTGGGGCAAACACGAAGAACAACAGCAAGGACTAACCATAATTTCGGGTTTGTTGCTGACGCTCACGTTTGGGTCCTTTGTCATTGGTTGGTTTGACTATCACAGCCCTCTGTCTCCTTTTAGGTCGGCGATCGCTGCTATGAGGAGGGAATGTACGATGCGGCAAAGCTACTCTACAATAACGTGTCCAATTTTGCTCGCCTGGCCTCTACCTTGGTTCATCTTGGGGAGTACCAAGTAGCTGTTGATAGCGCTCGTAAAGCCAATAGCACCAGGACGTGGAAGGAGGTGACTTGCTTTGCGTTGTTCACGGGGGAGGATATTAAGATTGGGATTGGAGCTTGGAACTGTTGAACTAGCTCTAGGTCAGCATTTCTCAACCTTGGCAACTTAAGATGCCTGGACTTCAACTCCCAGAATTCCCTAGCCAGCATGGGAATTCTGGGAGTTGAAGACCAGGCAACTTAAAGTCGCCAAGGTTGAGAAACACTGCTCTAGGTTTTTGCATTTCAACTCCCATTGACTCCTAGGCAGCGTGGCCACTTGCAAGGGGGTATGAGACTTGGCTTTGTGGCTTGGCCTCTGGGTACCTGCAGGGCCACCACTTCCAACCAGAATTGGCCCAACTGGTAGGTCTTCAAGGGAGAAATTGCTCCTAGTGCCCCTTCTTTTGGGTGCTAAAGGGAGTTGAGGCAAGGGGGGCTGGTTCTCTGGGACAGTCTTCCTGGGGAGATCAGGTTGTCCATCTCTCTAATTGTGTTCAGAAAGATGCTAAAAACAGAACTGTCCTGGAGGGCATTCTAACCAACTGGGCTATTCCTGCTTTTATTTTTACTTTGTCCATGAGTTGCTGTTTTATCGTTACTTCGTTTTCATGTGTACCGTGGATGTTTTAAAATTTGCGTGAGGGTAGATAGGTTCTGAAAACATATCTAAATATTGTAGCACCTTTTGAAGACCCTGATTGTCCCACAATATTGTCCCTGCTTTTGTTAAAAAAGATTTTCGGTACGCAGGTATGTATTTATCTGTAACATCCTATGGAATTAGACTGTCATCTGCAGCTAATTCAGAATCCGAGGGCCAAACTATCTGGGTATGTAGAGTAGAATCATTGGGTTCAATTGTCCACTTTTGCTAAGAGTGTATTTTGTTGCAGGTGTGTTTTGCCTGTGTGAATGGAAAGGAGTTCCGGCTTGCACAGATCTGTGGCTTACACATTGTAATTCACGCGGATGAACTTGAAGAGCTGATAAGCTATTATCAGGTTGGATTCCTTTAACTATATAAAACATAAAGGTCCTTGACCTTTGATGATGCCATAAACGTTATTAAAAATATTTATACAGTGCTGCACTTCCTCCCACTGAACTAGTAAAATTAAAAACAGCCATAGTATTCATGGCTGAAATGAGTATAACCAGCATAATTTTATTTATGTTTATAAATATAAACATATATAAATGATTAATGTTGTCTCCAGCAAAACTGTTCATGCTAATAAAAGCACTAGAGAATAGCATTTTAAAAAATCCCACCAAACCCTAAGAACTAAGGGATCTCTGGACAATACCTGGAAGATATGCGTAGAGATGAATTTTCATTTATATTTTAGAATGAAATTTGGGATATTGTATTCAGCAATGCAGTTTTTCTCTCTCTGATGAATAAGTCACTTTTGCTCATTCTTAGCATCTCTGTCCAGATGTTTAGAATTTCTCTTGTCTCAGCCGACTTGCCCCTTTCTGCCCTTAAGAAGTTTCCTTCTGGAGTGTGGGAGCCCAGACAGTTCGGGGGATTATCCTTTTATCTTGTTTAACCGTAAGTGGGGTATAAGCTGCTTAAACATGCCATGCTCTTGACTCTTAGGGCCGCGGGTACTTTGAGGAACTGATTGCTCTCTTGGAAGCAGCCCTTGGCCTGGAACGTGCTCACATGGGAATGTTTACCGAACTTGCTATTTTATATTCTAAATATAAACCACAGAAGATGAGAGAACATCTGGAACTGTTCTGGTCCAGAGTCAATATTCCAAAGGTATTTGATATTCCTGAAGTCAAGGAAATGCTGATATTGTTCCCTTTTCCAGCAAGCTTCCCCTACTGTTTGTCACAAAATGATGAAAATTGACTAGCGAACAGATACACATAGCAAAAAAACGGTATTGGCACAGTGGGGCAACTCAGGCCCTTGACATATGTGTTCATCTGTAGAGGCAAGCCATCAGTGACCTAAGGTGGGTGGGGATCCATGACCCATGCGATACTGTTGAACTTCCAACTGCCAGAATTCATCATCATTG